GGATGGACGGGGAAAACAGGAACGGCAAACCTTTGTGTGACAAGCGTGACAATAATTTTGTTTAATTTAACTTTCCGCCAAACTTCCACTTTCCTGTAGACAGATATTTTGTAAAAGACCAGAAGAGACTAATGGTAAATGATGATCAAGACAAAACTTGAAAGTAAAAGCCCTGTCACGTTTGTCAAACGATCCTCCAATTTCGCAGCATTTCTAGGAATCATCTTGACAGCGTCCTATTTACGCTGGATGACGTAGTCAGCCAGCGTCATAAATTCGATAGCGCATTCCTTTCGTATTTTTCTTTGGAGTCAAAATCACGTGCCCGTCCCGAAAAGTTGTGTGATTTTTATTGGCAGCAACTTCGAATCACGTGCAAGTCAGGTTGGATTGCACAAGCAGAAAAAAGATACTGCGTCAGCAAAGAAGGAAAAAGTAAGGTTACTGCATAGAGGAGGACAAAGTCAAGAATGTGCTCTAACTTAGGCCGCCCGGCGCCCAGTCGGCGACTAAGACTTGACCTCCAGCGACTGAAAATATTGCCTAGGTCACCCAGCCGGGCGACATGCTGGTGTTGGTTTCTTGATTTAAAGTAAAAAAGCTGGAATTTGTTACTTGCGACTTCGTAGCTCGCTCGGCCGCTCGGCGGCCTAAAAAATAACATTCCGCTCGCTAAGAAACCCTTGAGGTCAACTTGTATGTAGCATGTCTATCAAAAAGCTTTTTAAAAGAAAACGTTTTTACATGTAAATGGGGCACCGGGCGTGCGCTGTATTCTCGGTTTTCACTCACGTGAGAAGGAAGAAATAAAAATGGAAACCTTTTAATACAGAAAGTCTAGAATCTGGGGGATGAAAGAACATAAATATACAAAACGCCTTGCCACGAATCAGGTCTATGCGACAGTTCATATGCGAGAAATTCGGAAAAACGTTTCACCCAAATTTATGAAGCTTTGTATGGAGACGACATGTTTGTGTCCCAGGTTCCCAGATTTTAAGGTGCTCTAATATCGCATGAAAGTAGAAACTCAGAACAAGCGATAGTTTCTTATTTTGGTGACGTCATGTGAAAACCAAGAATTCAAAGATAGTGCCACTTGAATTCACATGTAACATAATCCTTGACGTGACAAGCTGCAGATTTTCGATTTTAACAGCTTTTCAAAATTTCTTTAGGATGGTTCATTAGTTAGTTTTTCAAAAGAAATTGTTACTTCTGCTCTGACAGGCGTAAAGTACGGTGGGCGACGCCAAACAAACGTTTTGTATTTTAAAACATCTCTGAATAAACACTTGAGTCGCCTCAGTTTATTATGATAATTAAATATTTTTACTTTTTTTTTGTTGCTGTGTCTGCGAGACTAAAACATAACTTTTTTATTCCTCGACCAGTAAAATACGATGTATAAAAAAAGAAAAGATACGAGTATTATTGTGATTGTTTTAGAAAAAGCTACGCAAATACGCAAACACAGAATCCACTAAAAGCTCATTTGTCCTGAACATTTCACCTAAAATATAAAACGACGAATTTCCAACAAGATGATGTGTTCAAAAGGGATAATAGTTTTGGGACGGGCGCGGTTTCGTTAAAATTCACTGCAGCTTTCCGGAAAAGCTTCACGGGATCTCAGTCATTTATCTTAAGCGGATTTTCTTTTCAACTTAAATGATTAGTAAAAAGATTATTTATAATGTCCTTATTTTCGACGCAAACATTTTTATGAAAATTGCATAAACAGACCACAATCTATATTCTTACTCACCGTCGAAAACAACAAAAAAAACAATTATATTATATATTCTTATTTTTTTAGTTTTATTCTTTCGTTCACTTCTTCATCGCCTTGCCGTAAGGATCAGTTTGCCGTATCATATTTTTCGACAAGTTTAATTGTACTGATCCGGGTCTACAACTGGGAGATCCGGCACCACTCATTGGTTTGTTGTTGTGGACTTGCTGACATTTTATTTACTTACTGTCCCCTGTGTCGTTTCTGTCCCTTGTGTCCCCTTTGTCCCCTTTGTCCCTTGTGTCCCCTGAGTTCCCTGTGTCCCCTGTGTCCCCTTTTCCCTTGTGTCCTGTGTCCCCTGTGTCCCCTTTGTCCCTTGTGTCCCCTTTGTCCCTTGTGTCCCCTTTGTCCCCTTTGTCCCCTGTGTCCCCTTTGTCCCTTGTGTCCCCTTTGTCCCCTTTGCCCCCTTTGTCCTTTATGTCTCCTGTGTCCCCTGTGTTCCTTTGTCCCCTGTGTACCAATTGTCCCCTGTGTCCCTTGTGTCCCCTTTGTCCCCTGTGTCCCCTTTGTCCCTTGTGTCCCCTGTGTCCCTTATGTCCTTTGTGTCCCCGTTGTGCCCTTTGTCCCCTGTGTACCCTTGTGTCCCTTGTGTCCCCTTGTGTCCCTTTTGTCCCCTGTTACCCTTGTGTCCCCATTGTCCCTTGTGTCCCCTGTGTCCCCTGTGTCCCTTGTGCCCCTTGTGTCCCCGTTGTCCCCTATGTCTCCTGTGTCCCTTGTGTCCCCTGTGTCCTTTTGTGTCCCCTTTTGTCCCTTGTGTCCCCTGTGTTCCCTGTGTCCCCTGTGTCCCTTGTGTGTCCGCATGCTCAGGAGGTTAAAGGATTTTTTTTAAAGAAAATAAAAAATCAAAAAAACCAAGTTTTGCTAGAAAATAATTTGTTTTATTTTTAATAATCAACTAACACCTCACTGATTTATCAATCTGGGTGACCAACGTGGAGGCCTGGGCACCCCAGCTAAAATGCCTGAAAGCCCGAAGGGCTCCCTGAAAATTTTCCTTAGAGCACAGCCTTGCGCCCTGTTATTGGAAGTCTGATACATTACATGCTATCGTTGAATGTGGAAGTGCATTTATTGAGGATATTACTATGCCCTAATGCAAATTTTAGCGAACTTTCCCATTCTCTTAACATATATGGTAGTCATATTGATGAAAGTTTTGTTTTAAGGAGCAAAGGAACCCTTGTGTGTAACTCATCTTCTAGTGTATTTAACAGAACATCTCCGTCTCTCCTGCACACATTTGTTGTTGATACACTGCTCAACTTTCCAAAGCCATTCAACTTAATTCTTACTTACATCACCACATCCTGCTTAAACGCCTTTAGGCGTCTTCTTGTTTCTTTTAGCATACCGGGACTGCCTTTGACCCACTGTCACTGACCACTCGTTAGTGGTCTTACATTATTTTGTTACATAGGTGGTGCTGTATAAGGTGCTGGGTGGGAGGGCGGGTGGGGTATTTCTTCACTGTAGTACCTCCGCATGGAGGTTCTGTTATATAACATAAGTCTACTTGTCACTGATATCAATACACAAGAAAAAGAAGCAAACAAGAGGATAGCCTGGAGCAAGCTCTCCGGGGTGCTCTGGCGGCGGGGCGGGAAAAGGAAGGAGAGCTTGCAACTACGTCTCTGGGATTTGAATTCCACCTCCAACTCCCCTGTGGCTCCCGGTCGACTGAGCAGTGAGATTTCCGGCAAGCAGCACGAAGCGGAATCGAGCGCGAATCTAAACAAGCATTGCAAAACAAGTGCCAAGGGTAATGACGTCATTACAAATGTCATCTCCGCCAATCAGCATTTCGCATCGACTTTTTCAAATCAGATATTCAAATTCCAGAGACGCAGTTGCAAGCTCTCCTTCCTTTTCCCGCCTCGCCGCCAGAGCGCCTCAGAGAGCTTGCTCGCAGGCTAACAAGAGGAACTTAAAATTCTGAACCCTACACCAGAAACAATGAAAAATTAAATATTTCATAAACGATTACGTCAAATCCTGGTTATAAGCCCTGAGCTTTTCCAATTATGCAATTTCGGGTAGGCTCTCAAGTTGTGGGGGGCTTATATTTGAGATAAAAAAAAAAAAATAATAATAATAATAATAATAGTAATGAAGATAATAATAGTAGAATAAAAACAAACAAACACATACACAAACAAACAAAAACAATAAAAAAGCAACAAGAACGTTCGACACAAGCTGCTAATGAAACTTTCTTTATTTCACTACAAGAAAAATTCAAACCTCTCCCTTAAGATATAAGAAAAATCAACCTCGTTTCCAGGGTCATCTTCTACTACTCCCCTCCTCTCCTAGGTTGTAAGAAAGATATGAATGCATATCATGGATAGGCCTATGTGGAGACGAAAGTTATAACCAAGAGGGAGGGTTGGGGGAGCCTCAAACAGGTATTCAATAATTACTTCACATGGTTTTTCTCTCGTAGGTCAGTTACACAGATGTCATTTGCGAGCCGCCGTCTGTTCGCAGTCCAGAGTGTTCGTACCACTTCACCAAAAAGATTTTTGACTACTCCTCCTCCGTAACCTATGATATTCTGACGCTTACACTGGGTGGTTTATTGTCCCTCGCCTATGGTCTGTTTTTTGGACTTCTGAGCTTTGTGTTTGTTTGGTTTGTTACACCTTTTACCCGCATGTGGCTCCTTCCATTGGGGTGGTTTGCGAAAATTTGGTGGTTCATTGTGAAGTGCTTCTACGATCCACTGTACCTGTCATGTGGAAGGATTTTCTCCAACATAAATATTAACTTTCGCAAAGCTGCAATTCAAAACGTGTAATTGCTGGCCTTTTTACAGGGCGAGTTTTATTCAAACTCAGTACAGGACTTTTAAATAGTCAATAGGAAAAGTTTTATCCAGCCTTCACTAAGATTTATCGTTTGTAACTGATTTGTTAGTGGTAATAAAGACCTTGTTTGTTCCCGGATCAAAAAATACTGAAAATGATTTCCATTTTACTTAATTCATTAACTTTGGTATTTTCATGTAAAGTTTTAGCGAGATAAGATTCTGTCGAATGATTAAACCCAGCAAGATATATTTGTCCATTTTAATTTGAACCTAAGTTGGTTAATTATCTTATGCATATCTTACAGACGTCATACTTAGCAAAACAAAAGGTTTACAAAACAAGTATTATTTTTACCAAAAGGTTTAAAAGTGTCAATAAAAGTTTCAAAACGTGTTAGACCAATGTATTAATCAACCTATCTATTCTGAACTTCCTATTTTAAGAAAGACTCAGATCAACTGCTAAAGAGTGGTTTTATTTCATTTCATCAATTATTTATTTTTGTCTACCAACACACTTGTTTTCGTTTATTAATTTCAAGCTCTCCGAGGTTTTCTTCGCATGGTATAATGACAGGTATAATAACTTTCGTGACCTTATCATGAGCGGTTTTTACGTTACAGGGCGGAGTGCAGGAGGCAAGAAAGCTCGGGTTGAATAGGGTTTGAATAAGGTACTTTATTGCTAATGTGAAATACCCCTTCTAGTTGACTATAATTTGGAAACCACTCAATAACTTTATAGTAAGATTTGTCATTGTTGAGACTAATCATCTTTTTATAGTATACTTACGTTTCATGGTCATTGGAAACTTGTGAAGTTTCCAGTCCTGCCTGTGACTCTATAGGTTGCAATTGGCAAGGTGTGGCATGCAATACCGCGGTGTGGCATAATATCATAGGGCAAGATGTGGTGTGATTTGATTGTTTCTTGTACTTCATTGTAGCGTCATAGAAATATAGCTTTTTTGCGTGGTATTTTAGACACCAACACTGAACGATGCAAAACACCAATTTACGCATACCACGCAAAAACATCAATGCTCGTCTGCTCGCTGTTATTGCTCTCGCCACAGTTGTGTAAGTCCCGTCCAAACCGTATTCGGGATTCTTGTCCCGCAGACACGGCCAGTGGAGATGACATGTTGTTACATGCGAGTATAGGAGCGTTAACACCGACATCGTCAAGCTTGTATGAATAGTATGCACAGCCCATGCCATCTCCACGGTATTCTGCGAGTTGCGGAGCTGTCTTTTTCTTGAACGTTAGGATGGTTCCCAACTGCTTGTCCCCATACGAGTCATGGGTACATCCTCAATGCGATACAGGTACGTCTTGTGAACAGCGTATGTTTCCGTTCAAGTGAGCGAGTTTAAATGTGTAGATTAATCCGCTGTCTATGATATTGAAAGCCCCGTATGAATCACTTCGAGCTCCTAAACAGACGGGGTCATTATTGACCTTTTTCCAGTTTTCTGAAAGAGAGGACACCCGACTATGGTTAAAACCCAGTGGCGGATCGAAATGAGCAAGTTTTTTCTGAAACAGGGTAGGGGTTTGAAGGCCTCGGGGGCATAGCTCTACCCAGACTTCCCTTGAACGCCCCCCCGGGAGATCCAGGGGAGGGGCTGCTTCCTCCCCTTATTTTTAGACCAAACTGAGGCCCGAAGGGCCCAAAAAAATTTTTTCGAGACCGGGCCCCTCTTATCTAAGGGTCTGGATGACCGGCTCCCCCCCTCCCCTTATCTAAAGGCGTGGATCCGCCACTGAAACCGGTATCTGCGCTACGTCTAAGAAGAGGAAAATCAAGAAATAAATTTTAAAAAGTCATCAATGCCATTTCCATCAACTTAACCAGGGGTAACAGGGGTAACAAGGGGTAACAAGGGGTAACAAGGGGTAACAGGGGTAACAAGGGGTAACAAGGGGTAACAGGGGTAACAAGGGGTAACAAGGGGTAACAAGGGGTAACAAAGGGTAACAGGGGTAACAAGGGGTAACAAGGGGTAACAGGGGGTAACAGGGGTAACAAGGGGTAACAGGGGTAACAAGGGTAACAAGGGGTAACAGGGGTAACAAGGGGTAACAAGGGGTAACAAGGGGTAACAGGGGTAACAAGGGGTAACAAGGGGTAACAAAGGGGTAACAGGGGTAACAAGGGGTAACAAGGGTAACAAGGGGTAACAAGGGTAACAGGGGTAACAAGGGGTAACAAGGGGTAACAGGGGTAACAAGGGGTAACAGGGGTAACAAGAGGTAACAAGGGGTAACAGGGGTAACAAGGGGTAACAGGGTAACAACGGGTAACAAGGGGTAACAAGGGGTAACAGGGGTAACAAGGGGTAACAAGGGGTAACAAGGGGTAACAGGGGTAACAAGGGGTAACAAGGGGTAACACGAGGTAACACAGGGTAACAAAGGGTAACAAGGGGTAACACAGGGTAACAAAGGGTAACACAGTGTAATAAAGGGTTACATGGGGTTACACAGGGTAACAAAGGGTAAGAAGGTGTAACAAAGGGAAACACAGGGTAACAAAGGGCAACAAGGGGTAACAGAGGGTAATAAAGGTTAACACGGGGTAACACAGGGTAAAAAAGGGTAGCAATGGAAAACAAAGGGTAACAAAGGAAAACAAAGGGTAACACAGGTTAACAAGGGGTAACAGAGGGTAACAAAAGGTAACAAGGGGTAACATATGGTAACAAAGGGTAACAAAGGGTAAACCATGGTAACCCCCTGTAACCCTTTTAACCCCTTGCAACCCCCTGTAATCCCCTGTAATCCCCTGTATTGCCATGTAATAGATCGTGAAAAGACGATTTTTGGCGTGTTATAGAGAAAACAAGCCTTTTTGGACTATGAAAACATCGGTTTTAAAAACTGGCGATTCACATTTTTTCCAAAGGGGTTAGTCGATGATTTTGGTCTAAAGGTATTTTGAAGTTTTTTCTTCTGTTTTTAGTTATTAAAAATAGATGGAGAAAAAGTGTTTGCTGACGTTATGGAGTAGAACAGAAGCTTTTTAAGACTATTAGAACACCTGTATTGTCGCCTAGGACTGCCGCATTGCCAAACCTTCCCTTGTGTTGACAATTTTTGTATAAATCTACCTTTAATTTTGTTGTTTTCTTTATGGTATGGTATGGTATGGGAACTTTATTTATACACGTATTTCCTTCAGGCACATTTGCATTCAAGTATAGATTAACTAACCACCTAACTGATCTAGAATATCTAAGATAAAAACTAAAATAATAAAGATGAAAAGAAAACACCTGCTTTTCAAGGAGGCTGTTTGTAAAAACAGCATATCGCTAATTAAATTGTTTGCCAATCGAAATTTGTCTCTTAATTTTCCCTTAAAGAAATTAGGGGATGTCAATTGCCGCACCTCCAGAGGCAGGCTGTTCCATAACACACTTCCGCTGTAAGAAAGACTTCTTTTATAAAATTCAGTACGGGGTTGTGGAACAGCGAGCTTGTATTCTTTCCCTTTATCATGTTTCTTTACTTTTCGTTTTGTTTTATTTTTTTCTTCCTTTTTATTTTTAAAATATTGCTAATATCTCCTAAAAATAAATTTAATTAAGAAATAAACTATTGTACAAACTAAAATAACAATAATTTCAAAAAAGTAATTGATTTTTAAAATAATGAAATGAAAAAAATGAAAAATTAAAGAATTGAAAGTAAAAAAATAAAAAAGTAATTTATCCATGGCCTATCGTTGCCATAGGTTTTCTTTTTCCTTTTTTTTTTCTCTTAGTGAAAAAAACAGCCATGGTCTATGTTGCCATACTTTAAAAAACAAAATATCAAAAACAACAACAACAACAACAACAAAATCGTTACCATAGACCAGAATGCCTTTGGGGTGTCTTATTCAAGATGGCGACAACAACGATTGTCAAGAAGACGGTCTAGGAGTTAAAAGAGATCTTAAGTCGTTATGTGAAGCAAAACTTTCGTCGAAATGAAAGCTTACACTTTGTTTCAAGAGATTCTAGTGAATACGCGTGGAGTTTAAGGGCGCTAGAGAGAAGACTAGAGTTCTTCAATGGCATCACATGAAAAACACAGATGGAACCGTAGAGATCCGTAGAGGTCGATGAGGTCGAAGACGCAGTAAGAAGAGAATTAGAAGGGCCGGGAAAACTCCTTGGTTGCCGGCGATCTTGTGTATGCAGTAATATATGGTGTAGATCCAGATGCACTCGCTGAAAAAGGCTCCTTAATTTAAGAAAGGCCAAAGGCAACTTCTGATCACGAAGCCCAAACTGGGTTCATGTTCTTGATGGCCACGATAAATTAATGGGCTACCTACCTATCGCTGTTTACGGATGCATTGACACTTGCAGCCGAAAAATACTTTGGGCAAAGGTTTGGGTTTACTTATACAAAGCAACAACGATAGCGAGAAAGCTGAGACTGGAGAAACGATCAGAAACAGGACTGATGGCTTTAATGCACTCCTTCTCCGACAGCATCATGGGGACATGGATCTAGTGGAGACAGTCATGTATGGCCATCAACTTCCAATCAAGTATGTGTACTTTTTTTATGTGATGCAGTGTTTTTCTCGCACCAAAGTACTTGAATTCTAACTTAAAACGTGTGCAGAAATGTCCTACCCTTTGTCTTGGTTATGGTACATGTAATTAAAAATTAGCCTGTGAACAGGCTCTCTGTTTGGGGAAAAAATAACTACCAAAGGCCTGTTCACAGGCTAATTAAAAATTGAAAGTCCATCAGGACATGATGGAATTCCAAACCTACAAGGTTCCTTGATTTATACACTCTTATTCGGGAACTACTTAAACTTCCTTGTCTAAAGCTTGTCTTTATTTCAAAGAGCATCCAAAAGTCAATTAAAATAGATTTTGCTTGGTGAGCTGTTAGTAGTTACAATTGTGTGTGCTGAGCAACATTGCTAGCTTTGCTGTAGCTGGGAATGTGTAACATTTGTACACTGCTTGAGCCATAAAATAACAAAGACAAGAAAAGATACAGTTTGAACAAGGTGGATGGAGAGTAGTGTTCAGTTGTATTGACTAAAAACTGTAATTATACATTTCCTGTCAACCTCAAAAGCTTACAAATGTTGTAACCTGAGATCTGCCGAATCACCCAACCAAAATTAGTTCGGATCCATCGCTTGTTCTTTTAGTATGTGAATTTTCAGACTTGCTGACTTAAAAAATAGCTTTTATCTTTTAATTTTTTCAACTTAAAATAAAACAGTCAGCACAATCACATTTAACTTCTTGTGAGATTAAGGGAGATCTCGAAGGTTATTTCTGTTGGCGTAGAAGGTAAAAAGTTTTCGAAAAGACGGCAACACGATGTTCTAGTTTTAATATTTTAGCTAGGCAGGCTCAATTTTTAAAATACA